GTGTCAGAATGAGCAACAAGCAAAGGAAGTTCCTAGCACTTGGGTATTACCCGTTTCCAGGCTGCTAATGTTCTTTCAGTCTCAGATCAAGGCTGCTGAAGCTTGGGCATTGGCCTTGAGCACTCAGGTTATTTCTGTTGTTGTCAAAAACTCCCAGTGTTAAAAGTGCCCATAGAAGCAGCATCTGCTAAAAACCTAGGAACTTCCTAGGATTGGGATTTGAATGTGGACCCACTGGGGAAGGCTCCTGAGTGACGAAGAGAAGATGGCCTCTGCCATAAGGAGACAGGCCAGGAACTAAATGGGACAGCATAAAAGGGGCCCCCTAGATTGAAGATGAGCTCTACCTACCTTCTCTCTTCCTCTCAGTAAAACTCCACTGAACACCAAGCATTCCCAGCCCCATGCTATGTGCCAGCAATGGTGTGCTGGTAAGCTGGCTCTTGCAAAAGCAAAGGCCCTGGGCCGGGCACGGTGGCTCATGCCTGTAATCCTAGCACTCTGGGAGGCCGAGGCGGGCAGATTGTTTGAGCTTAGGAGTTCGAGATCAGCCTGAGCAAGAGCAAGACTCCGTCTCTACTAAAAATAGAAAGAAATTAATTGGACAGCTAAAAATATATAGAAAAAAAAAAAAAATTAGCCAGGCATGGTGGCACATGCCTATAGTCCCAGCTACTCGGGAGGCTGAGGCAGAAGGATCGCTTGAGCCCAGGAGTTTGAGGTTGCTGTGAGCTAGGCTGACGCCACGGCACTCTAGCCAGGGCAACAAAGTGAGACTCTGTCTCAAAAAAAAAAAAAAAAAAAAAGCAAAGGCCCTGATTTTAGCACTTTTGCCTATTGCTGTGGTGTAAATGTTCCCACTGTTGCCAATTTCAAGCTACCAACACAGTATTAGTGAACATGAAGCTGGGAAGAAATGTGCACCATACACCCCAGAGAGCTGGGGCAGGGCCAGCCCCACGCACCACTGGCTGGGGATAAAGCAGAAACTAAGACGGGCAAGGCCACTATCTCATGCTTGGTCTAAGGGGCATGATGCTACTGTTTTGCTTCCATGGCAGCCTTCACTACCATCACAGTGGGTCATGGTTTAATTGTCTTAAGGAGACCGTGTCTCCCTGTATTGTTCTAGTAGGTGAGAAGGCCTGCGAGGGCAGGGACCATATCTTATCCTTTACTGTGCCCCAACCTCCAGCACCCGCATGAGGCTCTGTCCACAGAAAGCACTGCAGGTGTGTGCTGATTGAGTTCACGTGGCAGGGGGGGCGGGGAACAGGCCATACCTGCCACCCACCCCGGAGCAGTGGAAACAACTACAAGCCACAAGTGAATTTTGAATAGCACAGGGTTGGCTACTGGTAAAACTATAAAGCGAGAAGTTTATCCCACTCCCTCGAACCAGCACCCCTGTCCTACCTCCTGGCACCCTTGCTACTGGCCGGGTCTCAGGCCTGACCTCAATTCTGACCCTGCACATTGCTAAGGGCTTCAGTGGTCATGCTGAAAGCAGGTGCTCTGACTTTCAAAATTGTGGGAAGAGTCAAGAGTTGTCCCTGGCTTCTCAAAGGGGTCCAAGACCTCCCCTCCACCCCACTATCTCCAGAAAAAAGTTAGGTTCTCTGGCTAAAGCTGTGGCCTGTAGGGAGTGTGGACACTGGTCACCCAAAGGGCTGACCCTCTGAAAAGGGGCGTGCATGAGAGAAAAGAGGCGTGTTCCAAGGAACCACTTGCAGCCTGCCACACTCACGCTCCCACGCTAACAAAGAAAAGCTGCCACCATCCCCAGAGTGGTGAGCCAACCCGGCAGGAGGATCTCAGTTCCTGCCCTGGCCAGACAACTCAAACAGTATGCTATGCTTCCATTTGGGGAAGAGGGCTTTGGGGACAGTTCCCATCACAGCTGTAGACCCTGGTCCTTAACACCCGAGACTAGAATAGGTACGGCCCCATGAAGGAGCTCCCTCCGGCCATCCACTCTCCTCTCGTTTCGGTATTTCCAGCACAGAGCCCACACCACTTCAAAGATCAATGCTTTATTTTCTCTGGCTCCAGTGATACAACTGTAGCAGCATATCAGAAACATCCCCACACGTAAACACACATTTCTCCCCTTCTTCAAAGAGCTGGCAACAATTGAGAGGCAGAAACAATATTTACTACAGGCATTTGAGAAATTTAAGAAATAACACTTGCTCACCCATAGACCATACATTGTGCATCTTGCAGGTAGGAAGCAGCAGTACATTTGCAGTTCACAGACACAATTATCCTTAAATAAAATTAAATAAAACCTTATTGGCATAACGATGGGTTGGAGATGCAGCCTTAGGGGCACTTTGGAGCATGTTGCTTGGAATAAGACATCAGCATTTAAAAAAAAGAAAAAAAAAACCACACACAGAATATAGGCAAGTAAATAGCTAGATTTTTGAAAGTTAAGAAAAAAGTCATAGGGTGCAGGGGTGCACACCTGGAATCCCAGCTACTCGGGAGGCTGAGGTGGGAGGATCACTTGAGCCTTGGAGTTGGAGACCAGCCTGGGCAACACAGTGAGACGCCACCACTTAAAAAAAAATAATAAATAAGTAAACAAAAGTTAAAAAAGAAAGTCACGGATTGAAGATTTCATTCATTTGGAAAAAATCAATTTTTTAGTCTAAATGAAAGGTAAAACTCTGATCTGCAAGTGGTTGAACCTCAAATCACGATTTGAGCAGAAAAGCTAACTCGCACACAACACCCCATATGAAAGTACGAGTATTGTATTCCAGTGGCATTGCCTAGCTGCAGACGTCACCCTAAAGACACCAGTGACTGAGTACATGCCATGATTAAGCAGGTCACTAGGGTGGGGCTGAGGGGTGGGGAGACATTTTCCTAGTTAGCACTTTGCAATGTCAAAGTCACAATGGAAAACTGACTGTAGTCCGACAAGGATAACAATACCAACATTGGAGATAAAGGCCAGAGGAGAAACTTAATTCCTACAAAATTAACAAACACTTTTATTTGTTCAGTGCTTCACAACTCTCAATGCTTTACTCGACCTCTTGACGACCAGGTCGGGCAGGCAGGACAGGTGGCTACCCCCAGCCGATCCGTCCCTCATCACACCCGGTCCCCACCTCTCCTTGCACCCCTCTAACCAGAGGAGCGTTCCCAGAGAAGCCAAGTTTCTTTTCTAAAGACCACCCAAAGCAAATCCTACAGGAACTAAGAAATATCTTGCAGCTGTGTGGCATATGTTAAACAGACAAAAAGGGGTGGGTAGAATAATTCTTTTTAGAATTTGATTTAAATTCTACTTTGGAATTTGATTTTTTCCTCCATTCGCAGAACTGAACACTAACACTAACCCCAGGCAGGTTTAGAGAGCAGGTGTAAACATTCTCAGCGGCAGCACGGTCTCCATGGCTTTCTGCATCTCTGCGTGGGTGGGAAAGGGAGAGACTCCCCCCACCATCCCACCCCAGCCAAGGTGGGACAGCTGGCAGCAGGGGGCTTCTCAAGGGGTACCTGTGGGGGGCACCCGACGTGGCTCTTTCACGCCCTCATTTGAAAAAAGGAAGTCCATTGACTGTTTTATTACAAAACTTCTCATAGCTATTAGGACAAAAAACGATTCCCAGAGGCACTGTGTGCATGATCCCAAGATGAAAATTCTCCACGAGCAGCTCGAGTCCTTCCCAGGCGGTAACACCATCCAAAGGAGCCGGGGCCTGCGCCTCCCCGGTGCGATGTGCCGCGGTGACCATTGTGTGCGGCAGGAAGCAGGTCAGGACCGGGTGCACCAAAACGAGAACACACACACGTGCTTCCTGCTCACTGGTAGCGACGGGCTCTGCTGCGGGCTCAGAAAAGGAAACTGGGAACCTCGTCAGTCTTCCTGGGACAGAGGTCTGGCGGTGGTGCATTGAATGGCGCAGCCAGGGGACACAGGCTTGTGTTTTCTCTCAGCCATGGTCTGACTCAGTAACGCACCATTTCCGAAAACAAGGCTTCGAGGCCTCGTGTTCTCAGGTGACACGGACCCAACAAGGCTGCAGGATGGCTCCGGAGAAGCAGCTCCCAGCTCCGGGGAAGGGTGGGGCGGGGTTAATGGTTGGGACAGGGCAGCGGGACAAATGCTGGAGGTACGCTTGCTGGGTTTTTAAGACTCCCTACACTGCACCAGGAAATACAGGAGAAGATTAGGATATTGAGTCAAAACATACATAGACCAAGTTACCTGAAGTGCCTGAGTTAAAAGGTTGATGTGGAAAAAAGTCCTAGAACAAAGGCAGGATTTATCCCACTGACTGGCCCCACAAGTAGCCAAGGGTTGGCGTATCCAGGGCTTCTAAGTGCTGGCCCAGGGAGGCACACAGTGACTTCACAATAGGGGAGGACGGTCTGGGTAGGTTAAGACAAGTCATCCTAATTCTACTGGGCTCCACCATCCTACCGGGCGAGAGATCCTGCCACCCAGTATGTGTGCGTGTGTGTACACAGCAGGAGAAAACGTGCCAGGGCCGGACTTTGGTCCTGGAATTTTCAGGAAAGACAATAGGAAAAAGGCACATGAAGGTGACTGATTGAATTGAATTTAAAAAAAAAAGGTAGCTGCGAGTAATATATCATTATTTTGATTTTTCAACGTACCTTTTTTCCCCCATAAAAAGAGAAATTCAAAATATAAACTTAATATTTATTATTTTACATTCAAGTGAGACTTCCATCCGGAGGGGTTTGCTAAACACGGTTGTAGGCCACGTTCGGCGCTTTAGTACTTTGGTGCCTTTTTAGCTAAACCTGATGGAAGAATTCAACCCTCTCGTTTTTTAAAAACAGCTTGAGAGTCCCAGCTGTAATACTATATGTAGACACGAACAAGCACACACACAAATTCAAAAACTTCTCCATAGAAAAATAAAGGATAAACATTATCCATCTATTTTATACTGTGTAATGGAACTTTTATATACATAAAATTTTTTTTTGTTTTTTTTTTTTTCTCTTTCCTGTTTTCAGTCACTGCATATTTTCTTCCCTCCTGTGTGATCTAAGGATCTAGGGAGGAGATTGCCACAGTGAAGCAGAAAAGCTACATTCCGCCCGGGGAGGAAGAGAAAAAGCAATTTCTCGCTCCCCTTCCCAAGTCCTGCCCGTCCACCGCCACCTCGGATGTCCCTGCGGACGGCTTCCCGGTGAGCGGCCACCCCGCCCACTCCTCTCTCTAAGGCAGCAGGGGACACAAGGCCCGCAGGTAGCACCCTGCAAAAAATGACCTAAGTGTGAGGGCGAGAGAGCGGAAGCAGGCACAGAAAGCCTGTTAAGAATAAAAGATTCTGGAATCGCTTCCCATAGCCTGTTCCTTTAGTATGGAGTTCGATTCTCCAGCTGGTGCTTCGTGAGGAAGTACTTGAAGAACTCATAGACAGACCAGGAGATGGCCGTGGAGGGCATCTGGAAGATGACGCGTGCCTGTATGCCCTTGAAGTAGCCGGCCAGGCCGTTGAGCTGGTACACCGTCCGGAAAGCATTGGCCATGCCCGACAGCCGGCCGCTGATGTTGGCCAGGGAGAGCGCCACGTTCTCCTGAGTGTTGAGCAGGGTCTTGCAGACGTCCAGTGGGGTCGTGGCGGCCGCGGCGAGGGCCCCGGCCAGCCCGCCTGAGATGATGTGGGACTGCGGGTTGTAGCCCCGGTGGGGGTTGACCTGCTCCTGCAGGAACTCGTAGGTGATGAAGTGGATGGACTGGAAGGGAATGTTCATGGTCAGCTGCGTGGTGTAACTCCGGTAGAAGGCCCCCAAACCCTCGGTCCTCCACACCGTCCGGATGCAGCTGAGGGCTGAGCGGTGCTGCGAGTTGTACATCTGCAATCGCTGCTTCACAACTGTTGTCGGGGCCGCGGGGCAGGCCAGGCGGGCGGGCAGTGGGCAGTGGGTTGGGTTTGGCCCCACCCCAGGTCGGAGTGAGGTGGGAAGCCGAGCCGTAAAGGAAAACAAGCAAGTTAGACATGCTGGTCACAGGCCACAAGGAACGAGCACACAGAGCCCCAGCCCGGGAAGCCACGGGGGGCCAGCTCCAGCCAGTCCCACGTTAAAATTCCATTTTTATCTCCAGGACCCAGTGCCAGGAAGGTGGCTATTTCCTTAAGTTTCTCCTGCCTGAATCTCGCAAAAGGGCCCCCAAGCCAGGCAGTCACTTTGAGCTAGATGAGCTGATCTGATCTCCCAGCTCCTGGCTGCCCCTGGCAGGAAGCTTCAGCACCCACCACAAATCTGAACTCTGTCCCCTGCCCCGCCATCCCCAGCACATCTACTGGAAGCGAGTCCCCTCTCTGTCCTCGGGGTCTGTGCCTCTGATGGTGATTTTAGTTTCCATGTCATGGTACAACTGGAACAGACACTGGAATTATGTCTGCCCAAGTTCAACGACAATCTCCCATGCAGACCCTGGCTCTGTTAATGCAAAAGTAACTGGGGGTTCACAGGACAAGAGGCAAATGAGGCTCACCGTGGTACCCGAGCTCAGAGCTTTAATGGTCCCCACATATGGCCAAATGAATACACACAATGTGCTTTACTTTGAGAGAAACAAGGGCCTTAAATCAACCGTAACAAAAAGCAGAAAGAGCCTCATGTTTCTCTCTTTAAAAAATATAAACAAAACCCTTGCTTGGTTAACAGGGCTAATGAACTAGTCACTGACCAGGTCCCTGTATGAATTGCGAAAAAAATGTTTAAGCAAAATAAAAAAAGAAGCCCAAGATATATGATATTATGTAAGTGAATATTTCTTTAGGGATTTCCGGTTTTTCACTGAAATACTTCCTGGAAGGATTTCTCTCCCCTCTCCCTGACTACCTAAGAATTCCTCCACCCAGAACACACAGTGTCCTTGTTCATTACAGGACAAGCCATAAAGGCAGGTAAGTTTACTTAGGCCATCGTATCTCTTGAGAAGGATAATGTGTGTAAAATAAAACAGAACATGGGCTGTCTTTCTGAGCTCTCTACTTTCTAAATAAAAAGTGAAAAACGTGTGAGTCCCCCAGCGTGTCTCACGCTACACGCAATAAGGAAACCCAAGTGGGTGGGGTGAGTGCCTGGCTCCACCTGTGCATTTGGGAAACGTCAACATCCAGGCGACAGAGACTCCCTCCCCACCTCCAATCGGACCCATCAGGGCCCTGAAGGCCAGAACAAGTCCCCTGTCTGCTAGGACATGGGAGGTAGCTGAGAGCAAACAAGAAGGTTTAGCCTTCAAAGGCAAAAAATAGACAAACTTACATAACACAAGACTTAAAATGTTGAAACTTTTCTCTCCAATTCTCCCTTCTGGCAAGGGACCATTTTTAGACAGGGGGAAAAGGCACAAAGAGAGCCACACCTCCCCGAAAGCCACTGCGAGGTATCGAACAGCCCATCTGAAGGCATGCCCAGCACCAGGCCCGAAAAGGCTCACTAGTCACATCCATGTCTGCTAAGGATGCTGGGATACACAGAAAGCTAACAGAACTCGTCTGCGCAAATGAGATTTGCTTTATAATACTCCCAAAATTCAAAAGAAAAGAAAAAGATAATGTGGGGAGAGACAGCTAAAACAAAATGGCCCAATGTTAATCTCTGAAGCAGAGTGACGGATACGCAAGGGTTCATAATACTATTCTCTCTGCCTTCGCAAACGTTTGAAGTTTTCCATAATCTTCCAAATATTTTTTTAAAAAGCAAATTGAACATAAGCCCTAATAAATGGCCTTGGATGGGTTCCCCCAAAATTTGTCTAGAGTTGATAAAGGTTAACAAGAGCCAGGGGTGGGGTGGGTGTGTGGGTGTGTGTGTGTGTGTGTGTGTGTGTGTGTGTGTGTGTAGTACATGCACATGTGCACACATGGGTTTTAGAGTAGTGCAAAAGCATGCAAAAGAATCCCCAGGAAAGCTTGGTAAAACAGATTCCTGGTCCCTCCCCCCAGGATTCTGACCCAGTTGGCCCAGGGTGGGGCCTGAGAATTAGCATTTCTAACACCTCCCAGGAGATGCCGATGCTGCTGGTCTGTGGACCACACTTCCAGAAGCTCTGTTTACAAAAACAGAAATACCATAAAGCTCAGATGTTCATGTCCCTTCTTGAGGCCTTAAATAACATAGTCAAGAATTCAAGTCTCCTGTTTGCTCTGATGGGGGGCCAGCAGTCACCCTGTCCCCCCACTGTTTTTCTGCCCCTCTGCCCATCCCCTACTGCCCCTCCCTGGGACCATGAAACGTTACCTTCTGCTGGATTCATTACTGCATCGTGGAGCAGGGTGGCCATACTCCCAGCTATCCCTGCAAAACAAACTCCAGAAAATTACCCTCTGAAACCAGTGTTCTCAGGAAGTTCCTGGAACCCAAAATCAGATGGAACCTAGGACTTAGCTTTCTAAGAAGCAAAACGTACTACCAGCTCCACCCAGGTGAACGTGGACTCTTAAAACCCTAAACCAATCAGGGAAATACTGGATAAAGATGGGGAATATGAACAAAGGCACAGTTATCCACATCTTAATCTTGCAGAAACCTCCTTTTCTTTCTTGTAGTCAACCCTGGGAAAAAGCTAGACTTGCGAACACTGGGTGGTTCCCAGAAACCTCACTTCGTGGCTTTTTCCACTGTCTAGATTTTTACTCTCTTGTCCTTTCCCATTGTCTACACATTAACTCACTCTGACCTTAAGCTGGGGCAATTGAAGGAGATAATAGCATATATACAGCTGGAATGGGGGAAAAAAGAACTCTTTAAGAAAATTCCTTGGTTCAAATCCAGGCATTTTTAAGAAAATGGGCAAGAGAAGAGGAAATCAGGAAGATCTGAATCTGGTAGAATTCCAGGGTCAGTTTGCAAAGCTCTGACTCCACTCGGGGATGACTGACCCCGTCTAGGGGTCTCGTCAGGCCTGGCTTCAAGAACCAGGAACTTCAAAAGCCGGAATCGGGCCTGGAATTTTGCTTTCAGCTTTGGCGTTCCTCCCTCTGCGGTGACACTGCCCGGTAATTAAAATTGCCACTGGGAGGTGGGAAAGCCAGGGTAACTCTTCAGAAATGCATACAATATCCCCCTCACCCCGGCACAGACACTTGTAATTATTCCCAGAAAGATCAAAACAGAACCACAGCAGATACCACAACATTGCTGAAACAGCGCTGGGCAGAGCTTGGCATAAAATGGGTTCCGTCAACCCCCCTTCGAGGGGCTAAACCGTTACATGAGACAGTTTCAGCAAAAGGAGGGCCCGGGCACTGAGGACTCAGGGCAGCATCGGGGTGTGGCTCTTACTGACCGTCTCCATAAATGCCACTCATGGACAATTTTTAAAAAGCAAAACAAACGTCTGCACGCCAGCCGGGTGCACTTATTTACCGAGGTTTGCTGATGGGAAGGATGCTTTTTGAGTAGAACCAAAGGAGAAGGGAAAAAGTTACAGCTGATCACATCTAACCTCTCCAATGTTGAAAACTGCATTTTGCCAAAATAAGTACACTTTCCCACTCTGTACCCAAACAAAAAGCAACAAAAGCCAACCCCACCCGAGAGGACAGAAGTGCTCGGCCCTGGCTCAGTAGAACATGCCTTACGTAAGAGCTGCTGGCCAACTTGCACCCCCCACCCCGCCTCTCTCCCTCGGAACAACCAAACAAAAAACGATTTCAGCCCTTGCTGGCAGAGAGATGCAACTCAGACAAACGCAAGAGAGTGGGGGGTAAAACTCCCAAATCCCCCGAAGCTTAAGGTGGGAAGAAGGGCCTTCTGCGCTGGTGCGAGTCCTTTGTCAGCCATAAAACTTCTTGACCTTTTAAAGCTTAGTTAGATCTTGGCGTTGTAGAGACCTGTTGTACCAGTTTTTAAATAGTCTCAAAGAAGCTGTCCAGATAACTTTTTTTTTTTTTTTGCAATCCAGCATTCAAAAGTTTTCTTTCTATTCAGGGTTTTTCCTATGTCTGATCATTAATTGCTTTTGAAAGTCTAAAAACAAAAAAGCAAAAGAAAACCCACACAGCAATGACAACCAAAACACCTCTGTCACTGATTTGTCCCCAGGCTTCGGAAAGCGAAGGGGAAACGGAAAAAAATCAAGCGTGTGTGTGAGCCTGTGTGCGTGTGTCTGGGTGTGTGTGTGCACACACGACTCTAGAGTTCTTTATTCGTGAGCGAGCGTGTCGAAGACGAGGCGTAAGGCCGCTGGGTCACAGGGAGGAACACCCCAGGGAAGGACGTGTTGAAGAAGAGAACTTTCTAACTCCAGACAAACGCTTTCAAAATACCGTTGGCTAGGTGGCTGTTTCCCTGGTGGTTGAAAACGTCATTTAAAGTCCTTTTCATGTTTTCATAGCAGGCAAAATACATGGCGTGGGCCGGCCCCGCACCCATCATCATCACGTTGAGGCCCCGCAAAGGCCTCCAGAAGCCTTCAGTCCGCATGATCTTCTTGAGCGCTCCGTAGATGCTTGTGTACTGGGCTTTGGGATCGGGATTCAAGCTCTGCATTCGCGTCTGGGGGCGGGTGAGAAGAGAAAACAAAACATAGCAGTTAATGGGGATAGTAAAGAGGGAAAAGACCCAGAAGGAGAGAGAGAGAGTGAGAGAAAATGGTCGATTTTCACAATTTCACATGATCTCCTGGTTAAAAAAAAAAAACATATTTCTTCTCTGCCTCCTGGAGGAAGCCCCTAGCCCCTCCCTGCTCCCTCCCACCCAGACACACGCAGTCACACAGATGTCATCATGCCCAGGAAAAGGAGAAAGGGCGTAGGAAGCCCCTGCCCTGCCAGTGTGGCCGCTGACAAATCCCTTAACCTGTCTGGGCCTCAG